CCACCCACCCCGTAGCTTTGATATACTTGTCCTTGAGCCGAGGGTGAATCAGAAATAACCTCTCAACTTCCAAAAGTAGGGTTAAGGTATACGTACACACTACTTTCTACAGACCCAACTTATAAAATTACACTGACTATATTAATGTTGCTTCAATATCGAGAGTATTGAAAGAGTTTTTGAATTTTCAGAAAAATTCTACAGCCTAGCACTAGTTGGGTAGCTGCTATTTTTTTTGTTATTCTAATACTTATCCTAATAACTCATCTAAGCAAATTATAAGTTGATAATTTCTATACATAAAACGAATCCACAAAAGGCAATTTATTAGCAAATTTTGAAATCTTCAAAGATATACGATTCAACATAATATATTACGTCACATATCCCAATTTATTATTTCTGATGAAAATCATACAATTTTGCTAAATTACATACAAATTTTCTTAATACTTTTTTTTTACTTCATCCCAAACACATCCTTTATGTTTAATATGTGTACTATAGATATATATAACAAGTGAATAATATCAATATCGATTAGGAAAAAAAATAGTGAGTCGAACACACTTTTTTTATAAAATCTCCTTTTATACTACGATGCAATCTATCTAGACATTATATTCATCAGAATAATATAGTGTAATACAACACATTATTATATGATATATTACGAAACAACACGTAACAACCATCGAGAGTGTTAGAGGATACATTTGAATCTTTTTCCAAGATAATTCTCTTTCTTTTTCTTGTTTATTTTACTTATTATTCTTTGTTTTATTTATGACCAATGTATGCCACATTGAGAGAGAGAGAGAGAGAGAGAGAGAAGGGCCCTACACTCAATTTTTGGGGCGAAATGAGCTCTCAACCTTTAAACTCATAATTAATTATATATATCATATTCTCATTGAAGTTACCAACAAGAAATCTTGAGTTTATTTTGTTCAATTTTTGAGTTTTATTTTTCTCCCAACTTGAAATCATTCCTCTTTATAAGATATTGTTGTTTTTTGTGGAAAAAGAGGAAGGATCAAGATGAAATTTTGAGTTTTTTTTTTTGTTTTATTTTTTTTTTCAATTTGAAATTTTTCCTCTTCTTAAGATATTTAGAGGAAGGATCAAGAATTGACAAGATGAAATTTTGAGTTTTAATTAATTTTATATTTTTTTAAAAAAAATATCTCTTCCTCTTGATAATATATTGTGGAAAAGAGGAAGTATCAAGAAATAACAAGATGTTACAAAGAGCAGCAAGTAATGCATATTCATGGTGGGCAGCTAGCCACATTAGGACCAAGCAATCCAAATGGCTTGAACAAAGCCTTCAAGGTACAAAACATTTACATGAAAAAGTTTTTGATCAACATAAGGAAAAGGAATAAAAAAAATTTAAAACATAGAAGATATGTGATGTTAAATATATGTGATAGCATCTGTCAGTCAAGATTCATATAGCCGATCTCAAATTGTTTGTGATTAAGGTGGTAGTTGTTATTATTGTCTAAGTTATAGCATTTTGTGACGAATACAAAGGTGCAACACAATACAAAATAGGGTTCAGACCAGAGTCACTTGATACTTATGTCAGTCAAGATTCATATAGCTGACCCTAACTTGTTTGTTATTAAGGTGGTAGTTGTTTTTGTCTAAGTTATAGCCTTTTGTGACGAATACAAAGCGGCAACACAATACAATAAAGGGTTCAGAGTAGAGTCACTTGGTACTTATGTTGGTGAGGGGGTAACAAGTAACTAATAGAATAGTTTATATGCGCACAAGATGACTCGAACAACAACACAAAGGTCAAATAGTCATATGTATATGTATCTTGATATTATGTTTCACAACACTCTGTCTCTTCTTCTAAAAATGATCATTAGATTGTACATTCTTATGATTATATAGATATGCAAGAGAAGGTGGAGAGTGTAGTTAAGCTCATTGAAGAGGATGGAGATTCATTTGCTAAAAGAGCAGAAATGTACTACAAGAAAAGGCCAGAGCTGATAAACTTTGTGGAAGAATCATATCGTGCTTATCGATCTTTAGCTGAACGATATGATCATTTATCAAAGGAATTGCAGGCTGCTAACAACACCATCGCTGCTGTTTTCCCCGAACAAATTCAACTAGCAATGGAAGAGGAGGACGAATATGGCGCCCTTAGAACTCCAAAATTCACTCCACAAATTCCCACATCAAGCGGATCAAACGTTCCAAAAGCTCCAATAAAACAGTTGAAAGGACTTATAACATCAGCTTCAAAGAAGTTGAAAGGCAAGAAATCATCTAAACAGATAGATGCAAGTAAAAATGTTCCAAAATCGGGGTTGCAAAAGAACGAAGCTCTTGATGAAATCGATAAGCTTCAAAAAGATATCTTAGCTTTGCAAACTGTGAAAGAGTTTGTGAAGAGTTCTTATGAATCTGGTCTTTCAAAGTACAAGGGAATTGAAAACCAAATCATGGAAAAACAACAAAAGATATGTAAACTAGAGGATGAATTTGGTGAGGGACGTGTTATTGATGATAATGATGCGCGTACATTGATGGCTGAAGCAGCACTAAAAACATGTCAAGAAACATTAGCTCAGCTCAAGGAGAAACAAGAAAGATCAACAAGAGACGCGATTAAAGAATTCAAAAAAATTGAAGATGTTAGTAAGAAACTGAAGTCTTTCAAGCATAAGCACCTTGGTGATCAAATTGATGAAACAAAGAAAAATAATGCAGCTAAAGAAGCAGTTGAATCTCAGAGTTTAAGTCAAGAATTGAGCAAAGAGATTGAGTCATTGCAGGATAAGATTAAGGAGCAATTTGATACGAGCTCGATGTCATCACTAACGGTGACACAACTAGCAGAGAAAATTGATGAGCTCGTGAGTGAAATAGTTAGCCTGGAAACAGCAGTTTCAGCTCAAACTGTTCTAATCGACAGAGTAAGATCAGAAGGCGATGACCTCCAATCACAAATTCATGTCTTGGAAGACGATAAGGAACCGTTGACAGACAATGACAGTAAACAGAATCTCAAAATCAGTGTGATGGATATGGAGGACAAGTTGCATTGTATCCAAAACCTTAACAAAGATGTTGAATATCAAAACAGTAGCTTTCAGACTTACTTTACCACAGCTCGTACGAGTCTCAACTGTTTAGCTGAGAAATTGAGTAGTGTTAAACCGGATGAGGAGGTCCAAGACGAAGAGGAATCATCCGTTGTTATAGTCAAGTCTCAAGAAGAGCCAAGAAAACAACAAGTTCATCAAAATGCAAGTGAAGTTATCTCGAAAACAGAACATCAAGAAGTTAGAAAAGAAGAATCTTCACTCAAAATTGTTAGTAATAAAGAAGGGGAAGTTATAGAAACCACAAAAACTCATTCCAATTCAAAACTTTTAGAACCAACACAAGTTGAAAATAAGGTACAATCACACGAAGATGAGGAGAAAGGCGACGAACCTAACTGGCAGGAGCTGTTGTCAAGTCGGTTAGAGGATAGGGAAAAGACTCTCTTAGAAGAATATACAACAGTTCTAAGGAATTATAAGGATGTCAAGAAGAAGCTAAGTGACAAGGAGAAGAAAGATAGGGACACCGAATTCGAGGTCACATTGCAAATGAGAGAGCTTAAAACAGCAATTGCAAAGAGAGACGAAGAGATCAACAGTCTACGAGGGAAATTAAACGTTCTTCAAGGAGATAATGTTACTCAAAACAAAGCATTGGAGTCATCAGAGAAACAAGCAGCATCCGATCCTTCAGATAATCAAAGCTTAAAAAAATCCAAGGACGTGGCTGAGACAGAGGACAAAGATAACCATAACGATCAAGATAATACTATGATCGATGAACATACATCTCGTTCACCCTTTGAGGAGAAGTTCAGGCTGGAAATTGACGCAATACTAGACGAAAACTTAGAGTTCTGGTTAAGATTCAGCTCAACATTTCATCAAATCCAAAAATTCAAGACAACAGTCCAAGATTTACAGAGTGAAATATCGAAACTAAGAGAGAAAGAAGTCGAAGAGGGCAATAATACTAATGCAGACATGAAATCAGAAATCAGACCTCTATATAAACACATGAGGGAAATCCAAAATGAGCTAGCAGTATGGTTAAAACAAACCGTCCCTTTGAAAGACGAAATGAAACGTAGGTCCTCTACATTGTGCAAAATTCAAGAGGAGATCACGAAAGCTTTAAAAGACGGAGTTGAAGAAGACGAGATAAGATTCAGTAGTCATCAAGCTGCAAAATTCCAAGGTGAAGTCTTAAACATGAAACAAGAAAACACAAAGGTTAAAAAGGAACTTGAAGCCGGTGTTGATCATATAAATAAACTTCAATTAGACGTCGAAAAGACAGTAACAAAGTTAGAGAAAGAGTATGGACTTGCTGGTGGAAATCCACAACAAGTTAATAACTCAGCTGGAGGAGCCATTCCATTAAGATCATTCATATTTGGAACTAAACCGAAGAAGCAAAGGCGTTCCGTCTTTTCCTCCTTCCAAAACAATAGAAAAGCACTCTGGGCTGGTGCACCATTGTAGAATCTTGTTTTTTTCAGGTGTATACACAATGTATCTCACTTGATGTATTTTTGTTCTTCCTTTTTTTGTTTGTTCAAATTCAGATAAACAATATATCTACTATTTTTATGTCACACTCATAATATTACACATAAGAAAGTTATATCAACTACCACTCTCAATGACAATATAAGAGAAGTCATAAACACATAAATTTCGTAAACAATAAAACATTATATCCAATTGAAACATTTTTGACATAATATTTCAACTTTGTGTTTCATCACAAAGTTGATCATGATCATCATTAATAATAACTTCCACACTCAAATTCTGGACAACTTGTTCATAAGCATTGTGTGCAGCTCTATTTTTCGCGGTTATTTTTTTTCCACATAATTTTCCCTTTCCTACAAATTTTCCATCAACGAAAACTTCAACCTCTCCTGTTTTCTCCCAGTGATCAACAAATTTTATCTTCAATCCCTTCTTTTGACATAACTCGTAAAGTTTTGTGACCGGATTAACCTCAAGTTTTTCTGGAGTAATTAGAGGTTGTAACAAATTTTTTACCACCTATCATCAAAATAAACATAGTTTTATTTCATTATTAATTAGAGATCGCCAAGAATAAAGAAATAAAAATTATGTAAATTTTTTAAAATTAAATTATACCTGCCAAGTTGTATCTAAACAATTAGAGTCACTATGGATAGCACCAATTAAAGATTCAACTAGGTCTGCAAGAACTTTAGGGGGATCAATGAGACCTAGTGAATGCAATGGGTACTCTAATATAGCTTCTTTGAATTCTTCTACCTGCGGAAAATAAATTTATGTAATGTATTTTGACTGAGCATCAAGAAATAAAGATATATATATATATATATATGTATATATATATATATA